TTATAAGACACAAATTAGAATGAGTTAAAGTGATCGAGTTTATCTTTTCTCAATGTGAAAATGAAAATGCTGATGGAGGGCTGCGCAGGGTGCAGATGATCCAGTGCTCTACCCATTCTGGCATGTTGGCAGAGAGTAGGGGCCACTGTCTATACAATGATCAAAATCTGAATTTTTTATTTTGACACTTTGATAGCACGCACTTGCATAAATTTTGTATAACGTATCTATGTGTTGGTACAAACCCTTGTGTACAACATAGTGTACAACCATGCTATAGAGTCTATGTGTGTCTCTGAATGTTTGGGTACCCATTGAACCCATTGAAAGTAGATATTGAGGGTGTTTTAGAGTGATTAACTTGTGGATAAAGTGATTTCCACGAAAGCTGAAAGCAAAAGCATCGCATACCTGCTTCTCCGAAACGGTGTTCTATGTACAAATTAGTTGTGGTGAAAAGCAGAAGCTGACATGCCAAACAGAGTAAAATCACTTCCACTCAAAGTAGAAGCTAAATTATTAAAAGCAGCGCACTGCCAAACACCCTCATTCACACTAAGTCACTAATTACTAGTGTGATTGTAAAATTTTGCACTGACATTTTGTGCCAACGTATCTGTGTGCTGGTACAAACCCTTGTGTAAAACATAGTGTACCACCATACTATAGTCTGTGTGTGTAAATGTTTGGGTAGAACACCGCGTAGGTGGTTGGCAAGCACCCATGTGAAGAAGAAGATGATGAGTATTTGATAATCGCAATGAACATTTTGGTATTTTTCAAATGAACATTACGTATAATTGTAATGAATAAATATTGTTTTTAAATGAATAAATGTGTGAGAAATGAATAAAAGTGTGAAAATACATTTTTCAAATGTGTGAAATTAAACATTCTAGAGAGTCAAGCACAACTGACCTGAAATTAGTTATTTTATATATATATATATATATATATATATATATATATATATATATATATATATATATATATATATATATATATATATAGGGATTGACTCCAGTCAGATGACACTTTCGGTCAGATGACAACGAATGCTCATTCTGGATCAATGTAGTGCTCATTCTTAAACAACGTAGGATTCATTCTCACACAACTGTTCATCACAATGTAGTGTTCATTCATAGCCAGCGAGACGACAACATAGGGTTCATTTTGAATCCACGTAGTGTTCATTCTAAGACATCGTAGGGTTGACTTTCACACATTTGTTCTTTATAAACGTAGTACTCATTCTGAAACAACCTAGTACTCATNGATGACACTTTCGGTCAGATGACAACGAATGCTCATTCTGGATCAATGTAGTGCTCATTCTTAAACAACGTAGGATTCATTCTCACACAACTGTTCATCACAATGTAGTGTTCATTCATAGCCAGCGAGACGACAACATAGGGTTCATTTTGAATCCACGTAGTGTTCATTCTAAGACATCGTAGGGTTGACTTTCACACATTTGTTCTTTATAAACGTAGTACTCATTCTGAAACAACCTAGTACTCATTCAGAGTTTGCTCAATGTAGTGTTCATTTTGAAATAAGGTGGTGCTCATTCTCAAGCAAGGTGGTGCTCATTCTGAAGCATGTCATCTGACCGAAAGTGTCATCTGACCGAAAGATGTCATCTGACTGGAGTCAATCCCATATATATATATATATATATATATATATATATATATATATATATATATATATATATATATATATATATATATATATATATATGGATTGACTCCAGTGAGATGACACCTTATGGTAAGATGACATGCTTCAATCAGATGACACAACACACACAACACTGCCAATGGAAAGCTCACCAACTGCCAATACAAAGTTCACCTACTGCCAATGGAAAGCTCACCAAGGAACAATGCAAAGCTCACCACTTTTTTTAAATAAAAAGAGTTAAAAAAAATAGCACTACCATTCAACCACCAGTCAACCACCGCTCAACCACCGGTCCACGGCGACAGTGGGGGTCATCGGTGGTGGCCATTGGTCATGGGCAGTCAAAGTGTAAAGCTCACCAACTGTCAATGCAAAGCTCACCTAGGAACAATGCAAAGCTCACCACTTTTTTTAAAAAAAAAGCTAATAAAATTGCACCACCAGTCAACCACCGGTCCACGGCGGTAGTCGGCAGCGGTTGGAAGTCAGTACCACCACTTCTTTTTTTTTGAAATCATTTTTAACTTTAAAATGTGGTGAGCTTTATGCACATATTCGGTGAGCTTTGCAATGAGAGTTAGTGAGCTTTGTTGCTGGGCTTTGTGAGCATTTAACCATCAAATTTTGAAAAAAAAAGTTAAATGTTGGAAAATGATGGTGAGCTTTGCAGCGGAGAGTGGTGAGTTTTGCAGTGATCAGAGGTGAGCTCCAGCGTCATCTCACTGAAACATGTCATCTTACCACAAGGTGTCATCTCACCGGAGTCAATCCTATATATATATATATACACACACACACTAATTGTTGAAATAGTGTTTGAATAAATGCAAAAAAGTCAAGCACAGTTGACCTAGAATTAGTTTAGTTGAAGGCATGAACAATGTCCTAAACCTGTGCTGTCGTGTCTCTGAGTTGAAGCAAATGATCAATTTATGATACTTCCTCAATCCTAAAACTAATTTCTTACTGTGTTTTACGATGTTTGACTGAAGTTATTTTTAATCGAATTTATGGAAATTTAAAAGTAAAATTTATACACCTCAAAGCTTCTCCTCTATTAGGGAAAGATTTTCTTATACAATATCATGGTATTTGATGAAAACAAAAAAATGTGACCGGTCCTTCTAAGTTGGGACCTTCCCAAGTCCAACCTCCTTTCATGACTTTCATCTCACTTTTTCATTTATTTATTTAAATAGATGAAAATCCGAAATGGACCTTGCATTGATGATAAAAATCTCACTTTTTTATAATCTTACATGAAAAGTTTAACACCATTTTTAATAAAACTTGAGATTCACCATTTGGCATTGAACATGCTCTAAGCACCTCAGGAACTTAGTCTTGACATTAATTTGTTCTCATTAACTACCCCCTTCCTCTCTAAATGGATACACACTTATATTACTCGTTTTCAAAAATTTTCACTTACTTTCATATTTTTATTATTCGTTTGATAAAACAAAATATTAAGACCAGAACTTTTGTAATGATGTAATTTATTTAATTAATTAGATAAAATTTATTTAATTAATTGGATGCTACTAAGAGATCCTAAAAATGGATGGTGTGATTTTTTAAAATTAATAGATTCTATTTAGATGCGCTATAAATATGGGAGTATTATATTACATTATTACTCCGTATATGGAAAAAAATAACGCATATGTTGTTATTATTTGTTTTTTACCTTCTTTGTCCCATTGAATTTGGTCATTTTGACTTTTTAAAACGAAATTCCACAAATTTTGATGGTTAATTAAAAAAATATTACATTTTATAATTATAAAATAAACTAATTTTTTGAAAATATTTTACAATCTAAATCTAATTAAATTATTTTCATACAAAAAATAACATTATTTTATTTAATGAGGTTCCTATTTCATTGAAATCTCAAGTCATTAGATGACTCGAAGCAACTACGGTGTTCCATTTGTAAAATTGACGGTTCCTACCCTCTTAATTCCGATAAACCCATTCACCCACCTCGACCGGAACACACTCCCAGCCCTTCAATAGCCCCCAAGTTTATTTTATTTTGCAGTCAAAAATTTGACTTTAAAGTCAAATTAACTTGGGGTGCAATTGAAGAGGATAAGGGGTGCGTTCGAGTGGAGATGTGATGAACAGATTTACCGGGGTATTAAAGGGACAAGAATCCTCAATTTATTCTGGATTACCCTCCCACTCCATTTTACTCCGTATTTAGGCTCTGTTCCATACGCCTGATCTGATTGAATCTGATCTAAAATTCTGAAGTTTTGATCTGATCTAATGGGATCTGATCTGATTTGATTGGGTCTGATTTAAGCCGATTGGATCTGATCTGATGGGATCTGAACTGATTCGATTGAATCTGATCTGATTGAATCTGGTTTGATCTGATTGGATCTGATTTTGTCTAATTAGATCTTGTGTAAATGAATATAAATTTAGATTTAAATTAAACTTAAAATTATTACAAGAAAATATCGTAATAATTAAAAAATTGAAATATTAAACATCTTTTCAATATCATTACTTTTTTAATCTTTTTGAAAACTAAATAATCAATGTTAAAATAACCAAATACTAGAAAATATGGATGTTATTCTACGAAAATATCACATTCTATATTCATATTACATAATAATATATTTCACGTTACAAATTAAAGATCATGTAAATCTTAAAAACTAATATTCCTTTCACCTCTATCAATTTTATCATAAACTCACCTTTGTGTATGTTATACCATCTTAAAGTTTAAAAGTAAGTCTTTTTAAGTATAAAATATTTATGGTTATGAAAACTAAATTTTGTATAATTATTTTATAGACAAGTATTTTAAAACAAACTCATTTTTAAAGTAGGAAAAATACAACTTTTCAGCTTTAGCATTGCTTTCATGCATTATTCCTACACGCGAAGCAATTATAAAAAAAAATAATGGTTTGTATTTGAAATATAATAATAATATAACAATAATAATACGGAGTAATATTTAAAATTATAATATTAATTAAGATTTCGGTGTGTGTAGCTTTCAATAAAGTAATGTGATTTAATTAAATAATAGTAATTATTATTTAATCCTTGAAAATAGTTATATTGTTTTTTTTATATTTTTCCTGATTTGATATTATTTGATTGGATCTGACCAGATCTGATTGAATCTGATATGACCTGATTAGATCTAATCTGATCTATTTGGATCTTATCTAATTGAATCTGATCTGATCTGATTGTATCTGATCAAATCTAATTAAGTGTGATCTGATTTTAATAAGAATAAATAATAAGTAGAAAAATAAGTTTTCCGGAACAAAACTTTAGTAAAAAAGCCCCAAGTTGTGAGTTTTGCTATGAGTTACCCGCGCGCGCGCGAAATCCATGCCTTCCAAAATCAGCGTTCTCGTTCCCGCCATTGTTACAACATTCACATTTTTCTTCCGCACATAATAAGGGGCAAACCATGCTTAAAACGAAGAACTCGTTTTCGCTCCGATCCCCAAAATCTGAAGATTCCGCCGGAAATGGATCTCCCTGCCAAAAAGCTCGGCCTCTCCGAGAACAAGTTGCTCATCCGTAGAGCTGCCGAACTCCGCAGACGGGCTGATATCCTATTTGATTCGTCCATCATCGGAGTTGTAAGTAATCGAACTCTATTCAGTATCCGAGGAGGATCCCTCGAAACTTGTCCAAAAATATTTCGATCTTATTTGTCCCTGATTGTGTGGATTCCTGATTCTTCTGGTTATTTTTTTCAGGGTGAAGTATGCAAAGCTATCATCTGCCTCGAAATTTCCGCCTCTGAGTATGTATTTACTCATAAAATTGTTTTGAATTGTTTTTCCGAGCATATATCAACGGGATTCGATTGGGTTGGCCCTGGGCAAGTGGATAGTTGAATTGCATTGTACGTGTTTGTGATAATGTTTGAATGCTATGGATTGAATGTAGGATGGGGGTGATATTTGATCGACATGCTGCAATTAGGATGAGCGGAATGAGTGAAAAGGCTTACAATAGATCATTCAATTCAATGCAGAATGGCGTGGGAATCAAGTGAGTTCTTAACGACAACATTTTCCTTCTATTTTCAATGCACTGATATTGTTCTATGGATTTGATGTATGAATGCTCTCTCTGTGCAGGAATAAGCTTGATATTCGAGAATTAGCTATTCAGTTTGGGTGCATTAGGCTAATACCCATTGTTCAAAAGGGGCTAGCACAGTAAGTGATGTTAAGAATCAATGTGTATGATCGTACGATTCTTTTCAATCATGATGCACCGTTTTGTTTTATACTGCGATATTGCTTAATGTCCAAGGCTACTGATAGTAAAATTTATAAAGTATAAACTTTAGAATGTTAGGCCTTTTATTGATAAGTTTTTAATTTTATAGTTTGAGCTTGAATATCGAATGGACAATGAAGAGATCATGATTTATTTGTAACACCAACAAGTTGTCTGCAACCATATTTCATTTGGAATGGAAATTGACTTGGGTGGTAATTTGTATTGCAAGTTTGGCATGGGAATAACTGAAATGTTTTTTCTTTTTAGATACAAAGAACGGTTTCTTACATCATTACCACCTTCTCGGAGGCTCAGTGCTGATTTTACCAGGCCCGTGTTCACTGCGGTGGCCTTTTATTTGAGTGCAAAAAAACACAAGGTGTGCAGATAATGTAATTTGATGCTTTGTATTTTGGAGCAACTATCCCATGATTCAGGATGACCTCTCATTTACATTTGTTTTTTATTTTCATAGTTGAAGGTGGACAAAATTAAGTTAATAGAGATCTGTGGAACATCAGAATCTGAATTTTCCAATGTATGAACATCCCTCTTGAAAGCATTTCTGGGTTTACTTCACTACCGTTGTATTTGATGCTGATTTAACATTCTTGTTGCAGGTTTCTACTTCCATGAAGGACTTGTGCTTTGATGTTTTTGGGGTATCTAAAGAAAAGAAAGATGCTAAAGAAATCAAGGGTAACCGAGGTGAGGGTGTGATCCTAAAACAGCAAAATGAATGTCTGATAATAGTAATAAACTCACACCTATATTCAAGTCAAAAGGCTTGCAAGACAGTGTAGTACTACAATAGTTTTTCATGTTTTACCTTGTGTTTGTAGGATTGCTCGATGCTTTACCTGAGAAAAGAAGGATTGATGACGGGGGCTATTCATCTGATGAGGATCAGGTAATCATATTTGGTTCACTATTAATTATTTTTTAATAGGAGTTTATATCTTATTTGCTCCCTCAACTATACTAGATTATTCGTTGTATGATGGTATAACAATTTTATCATAACTCATACCCAATGCATCTAAAATTAATTTTTGGGCATGAATCATGCCTAAAATGGTTACAAAGATTGTGTAAGACTCTGTGCCACACAATTTCTTTGTAGTGCACAAATTGGGGTTGGTCTTGGTGTTCAAAAAGTTTTTCCATTTATGCATATGTTGACAGGATGTTACACTATTTTCAATAGCCATTTTCTTATTGTTAGCTCTTGAATTTGAAATGTCTTCACCACTTTATAGTCTTGCTACAAGAGGCAAAAACGAATGCACAAAGAAGAATATGAGAAGTGGAAATACACTGTTATCAACTCCAGCAAACCTTGCAAATCTAAAGGTAGGCTGTGGATACATTCCAGTGTTTCTATAAATGTTTTGAAGACATCATGTGTGATATGATATGTTTGATCCTAAGCTAATGTTGTCTCTGTTGTTATAACCTCTAGCTCCTTTGAAGCGAACCAAACAAGCTCAGCTGAACTTCTCGAAGACAGTTCCTGAAAGTGAAGTAGAAGCTGCATGATGCACACATGCTTGTTTGTATGAATTGTCAAAGGATGGCCAGAAAACGGAGAAGCAAAGGTTAAGGGCGATATGTTCTTGTTCTGTATTAAATTATTGTTAGTTGACATGTAATGTAGGACTGAAAATGCTCACTGATTTCATTGTCTGTCAACAAAAAGTAAAAACATACTGTCTATGGTGTACTCATAGGGTTCTTATTTATCTTTCTTCAACAAAACATTTCCTTGTTCATTTTTACAAACTCAATTCACATTGAACGTGTTCTTATTGAGATGGCCAAATTGCCTCTGTTTGCTGCTGCGTTTTTATTGAGATTTTCTCACCTTTGAGTGAAGATTATTGTTGTTTGGTATTCCAAGTTGTTGTTTGATGGTTGTGTATGCCTCTAATTGATTAAGAAAGGATTATTGGTTGTACCCACTCAATTTCTTAGGTCCTTGGTGGAGGGTGTTTGGTACTGTGCTCACGGTGCCGTGACTTTTTCTTCAATTTGGGTTCCACACTTCCACGTAAATCTTGGTGAGTGTTTATCGTTTGATTGATTATCTGTTTGTGTGTTTACTATTCTTGATTGGTCATATGACTTTGCCAATTTTGATAACACAAAGACGGGAAACTTATAATTGCTTCCGCTAGAAATTGAGGCGCTTTTCCCAACGACTTCATACTTTTCTTTTATGCTTGTCCTAAAACAAATTTCACATTTCATTCATTGGTAGCATAAACAATAGATATTTTGTGATGAGAAATGTTAAATTAATTCACCGTGTAGTAGTAAATTGATCTCTACTTGTTTAGTTGTATCACAATCATGTTAAAGTCGACATTATGTGATATGGCAATGGGATACCTCATTGTCTCTTTAGATGTAAAGCTAACCTCGGAATGGAGATAACTAACCCTTGTAATCATCCCATTGAATTCATCTCCCACACTAAGGGGCTGTTTGGTAACTTCTGAATAGGTAAGTGCTGAACCAGTAAGAGGTCTGAACCATTAAGTGCCGAACCAGTAAGAGGTCTGAACCATTAAGAGCTAGTATATTGCTTAACTATTCAGAGGCAAATGTCTGATCAAATCAGATAAGAGCTCTTAACCATTCAGACTCTGTATAATACTTAACCATTCAGAGGCAAATCTCTTAACCATTCAGACATCTGAACCATTAAGAGGCTGAAACAAACAGTCTAAACCATTAAGTGCTGAATCATTCAGACATCTGAACCATTAAGAGGCTGAAACAAACAGCCCCTAATAGGATTAGGAGCATGCTAAAATTTGTACCTCATTCATACACCACAGGTATTCACCAACATTTTGATGGTTTACACTGACACAAAGTGTTGGTGCGTTAACAAAAATTAGCATTACACCAACACAAAATGTTGGTGGATCCGGCGGTGTATAAAATGGGGTACAAATAGCTTTATCTATAGGATTATCCCCTTCTGAAGTAGATATATATATATATATATATATATATATATATATATATACATATATATATATATACATATATATATATATACATATATATATATATATATATATATTTTACATATTAACAAAAACACAATACATTTGACCGAAATATGCAAGTATTTTAAACTAAAACCTAAACTTGAACACCAAACAAACTGGTTTATGGAAACAAATCTTATGATTTAATAATACATGACGCACACAAATAACTTGTTCCATGAATAAAACAATAGATCTAAGGCAATAAAGGCATGCAACTAAGGCCAACATTTTCTCGAATTCCCATCATCAAGTTGAGATTTTGTATGGCTTGACCAGAAGCTCCCTTTACAAGTTTATCAAGAACTGGGATGATTATAGCTCTTCTGGGATTACCAACAACAGGGATGACGCTTATATGACAACAATTGGAACCTTTCACGTCTTTGGTGTGTGGAGCTTCATCACCTGCCAGCACCACTACAAATTCTTCCTCCTCATAAAACCTCACAAGTTGTTGCCTTAAATCCTCAACTGAAGCTCCATGAGCCAATTCTACATGTATATTTAGTAGCATACCTTGGCTCATTAGCTTTTGGGTAGAAATAAAACTACCAGATACTTTTGAATTTGCAGCTTCACATAGTTCATGTTCAATTTCAGGCACTGTTTTACTAACTCCCGAGTTCGAGAAAATAACAATATCTTGCAATTCAATAAGATTAGCTCTGATGAGGGGAATAAGAGGAAGCAAGATTGCAGTAGGATAACATCCGGGATTTGCAACAAGACGTGCACTTTGGATCTTTTTTCGATGTATCTCAGTCAGGCCATAAACATCTTCTTTCTGCAATTCTGAAGCATTGTGAGGCAGACCATGCCATTCAACATAGTCATTAAGATCCTGTAATCTGTTGTTCCCGGAAAGATCAACGATCTTTAACCTACTTGGAAGGCGATTGATTATTTCCTGACTAGTGCGAGGTGGCAAACAACTGAAAACGGCATCCACACCAGAGAAATCTATGTCCTGAGTAGAAACCAAGATTGGCATATCATGCATGGTGAGGTGCGGAAATACTGAACCGATTGATTGACCCGCTTCTTTATCGGCAGTCATCAGAGCAATATCCATGGAAGGATGATTTATGATGAATGGAATAAGCTGACCACCTCTTAATCCACTCGCTCCGAGAATACCAACTCTAATAGACTGGCCAACTTTTTTAGACGAGGATATCACTGGAATCCTCACTGGCCTTTTCCAAGCTATCGACAACTTTGGCTGAAACTTGTAAAGGCACAGTCCATTCAAAAAAGTAGAACGTTGGGAAACTATCATCGAATTCATTATTTGAGATTACGCCGGAGAGGACGATATGGCGCTGACGACGTCTATCGCAATCGATAACCTAGCGGCGCAGTAAGTACTTGCTCTCCCTCACTTTATCGTTCTTTATGGTTATATATATATATATATATATATATATATATATATATATATATATATATATATATATATATATATATATATATATATATATATATATATATATATATATATATATATATATATATATATATATATATATATATATATATATATATATATATATATATATATATATATATATATATATATATATATATAGGGGCCGATTCCCGTGAGAATGCACCTTGTGGAGAGAAATGAGAATAAAATCTAGCCGTCGGATTTGATGCATCGTGCGGCTCAGATTGCATCCTGCGCTCAGATTTTGAGATAGTGCATTTTCGAATGTTTATGATGCATTTCAACGTGATGCATTTTCGCACCATTTTGGTGCATCTAATTTTGATGAAATCTTGACCCTTAGATCTCACAATCTAAAGCACTAGATTCATTCTCATTTCTCTCCTAAGATTGCATTTTTCACCAGA